AAAATCATTTCCAAATACTGAACGAATGATTAATATAATGATTACATGGGACAACATCTTATAGTAAATACAAAGATTGTAGTCAGATTATTTCTATACATAAACTGTTTTTAATACAAACCCTTTCGATTACAGTAATAGATATTACTAATATCTGTATCACCGAATCGTCAGTTAATGCAATTGGCAATTGAATTATGTGTAAATTGAAGCGAAAATACTTACATATTATTTAAACACGAGTTTATTAATAAAAACTGTTAAAATATGGTTTTTACAATTGACAGTATTCAGATCTAAAACAGATTGTCAAACTAAATAACTACTGTATTTCAACCAAATTTATTATTTTAATAAACTTTACATACATACATATTAATATTGACGGAATTATATTGTATAGTATTGTGGATTTGATGAGATTTTATTAAAATAACTATTTACGCAATAAATGTTTAATAATAATGCTAAGTGTACAATTTGTGAAAGTGTATATAATTATTAAAACTACATAAAAAATATATTTATAATTGAATGTTTGAAAGCATTTCTAGTGAATAATCTATATCTTAAGAGTAATTTTTCACTCAATTTTTGAGCCAGCTTTTGAACTAACCGGGGTCAATTCAAGCTCTATATTTTTGGACAAATTATCATTAATATTAGATTTAATGACCTTTAAACTTCGTTTCCCTAATAAACAAAAGCATATTAAAATAAAATCTTAATGTGTTATAATAGGCTAAAAACATTTGCTAATCACATATACCATTCTTTTTAAGCATATAAATAGCGACCAAAACTAGAGTCACGAAAACAATGATGAGTACAATAATTGACATCAAATACCAATTCCGTTTGGTTTGGACGTCATCCTCGACCATCGCTTCGGCTTTGGGATTGGGATTGGGATTGGGTTTGGGTTTGGGTTTGGGTTTGGGTTGAGTTGACCGCATATGAGTCTCGTTTCCAAATGTTGGGCTAATCTGTGAAGATGTTTGGAGGGTCTGTGTTGTCATCTCATTCATCGCTGTCTTCACTGTTATCTCAGTTGTCGTTATTTGGATGCAGTCACCGAAGAATTTCTTCACATCCATACCCTTTCAATGAAAGAATTTATTACTAGATAATGAGAGAGAGAGAGAGAGAGAGAGAGAGAGATCATACCAAATCAAAATAAGTGAGATCTTTATAAAATTCAACGATATGTGAATTGTTGGCATTGACGGCATACAAATTATTATTCAACACAAACAGACCCTGAGCCACAATTTTCGGGTGTTGGTCCCAATTAGTCCACTCCCCGGCATCCGTGAGCTCTCGCGACCAGAGAATGTTGTCTTCAGAGGTAACGGAAACCAATTGCTTATTGCGGGCATAAAAAGCGGCCGCAATATGTCTGTATCCGCCCACACCCAATTAGTCCACTCCCCGGCATCCGTGAGCTCTCGCGACCAGAGAATGTTGTCTTCAGAGGTAACGGAAACCAATTGCTTATTGCGGGCATAAAAAGCGGCCGCAATATGTCTGTATCCGCCCACAAGTATGGCGCCCGCGATATCATCACCTGTTGGTGGCCAACCAAACGGCATATCCTCGGCCTTTACAATCCGTGTGTCTCTATAAGACACGTAGTAATCGTCATTATATGTGAGGATCTGTTGGCCCTTCACTATCAATAAATTCTGCAATTGTTGTGTTATTTTGCAATATTTGGTATTTTCGAGGCACACATCCAAGTCAAAGGTAATGGCAAATGTGGCCAAACGGAACTCATCGTTGAAATACGTGACTATCGTGAGTATAGTATATAATAATATAATTAGTGTATACAGCTTAGTTAGCACTCATTTATTCAATAGTCTATCCATTAGTTCTGCAGACATTAGAAATGATAACTTATTTCAACTCTTGTGTTAAATAGAAAAGTATTTGAGATTAATATAGAAATAAGTTTTACATCTTTTGAGTTTCCAAAGGGAATATTCTGTAACTGCTTTGGCATTGGGATCATAATTCCAGTACACGTCCGGATAATTCTGGGAATATAGGTCTTCCTTATGGGCGACAATCACCACATTCTTCAAGTAATTAAAGGCAGAAAAACCCCTTTTTGGCACATCTTCTGAACAAAAGTCTTTACCAAATACTGAGACAATCACTGATATAAGGACTATAATTGACAACATTTTAGACATTCTTTTGCCAATAAATTGAGAATTATATAATGAAATTAATTAACTGTTTTCAATTACTACCGTATAATCAAGTCAATAGTAAATGTTTTAACTGTATTTTCGATTATTGAATTGCGTGCATTATAGTAAAAATTAATATTAACCCTATTGTAAATGAGTACAATGTTTTTAATTCTCACTGACTATTGAATTTAAAAAGTTATAAAGTTTAAACACTCTAAATTCAAATCTAATAAGTATTAAATTTCAAGTTCCAGATATTTATGTTTTTAGTTTACCGTAGATGTTACAATTTTAAGTATTGTAAGTTTAACTTATAATTAGTCTGTAACTGTATTTCCCTTTCAATTTAATTTTCACTGTTAATGTGTTTTCAATGAATATATTTTATTGTAAAATTTGGTATAAAATGCTAACAAAATACCACAAATGCAAGTATGAAAATGACAATAAATTACTATTAACTATAATAATGTGTAAAATATAACTTAAAATATCATAAAAACTAATTTATAAAACTTGCAAAATATGAAATGCAAATAAAACAGAGTTATAATTAAAGTAAGTTTTTATGTCAATCACTGGTCATTAGATGTGACCACAACTTTGTCGCCAATCATGTCTATGGTGTGATTGTCTTCATCCATGGACTCGTCTTTCAAAGTCAACTCCTTCTCGAGGCTCGCGTTTGACATTTTAGTTACATCTGAGTCACAGATTGTCACCTCATTTGCATCGACAGTGTCTTCGGCCTCGACCACTGGTGTCACTTCAGAGTACGGGTTATGCATTGGCGGCAGAAAAGTGGACAACAGGTCAATGTCTGTCTCTCCAGCCATGTCTTCACTCTTGATGTGTTGAGTGTTGACCTGTGGTTTGTAATTATCATTAAAGGCCACAAACTGATGAACCGACTGCTCGTACGGCACTTGAGAGGCATAGTTGTGGTCAATAGTGACGGGAACTATGAGTGCGGGTCTCGGCTGAGTAGGGAATCCAAAGCGGAAGAAATGGCCCCCAAATGGCTGATTAGGTCCGTAACGATAGGCCTGTTGTGCAGCAAATCGAGCCCTCGGAGGGATTGGAGTCCCGAAGACCGGTCTTATCAGCGGATGAATAGGACTGTGAAAGACATACGATCTGTTGGTATGTAATAGAAAAATTTTGCTGATCTGTTTGTTAGACAAGTCCTGAAACTTGTTGGCCAACACTTTGCGATACTCTTTGCCGAATATCATGAATGCGTTCGCAGGTCGAGGGATCCGCACCTCTTCGGTCGAGTCACTCAACACTTCCATCGGACACAAGAAGAGAGACTTAGAGACAGGAGTTCAACGAATGCCTAATCAATGCAATCGCTGTTCGGATCATTCGTTTGAATCAATGTCTCAAACATCTCGCGCTTAAACGAGATCTTCACTAAAAACGGTTACAAAGTTTATAATACAGTATAACTTATTTGTATAGAGTTTTACAAAATAGTTCATTGATTTGAAATAATTGAATACTAACTGTAAACATGTCTTTAAACGAGTTATTCATAATAGTGGTACTTCTTGTGACAAATACTGTGGCAGAAAGTGACAAAACATGCAAAACCCTTACGCCGAGTGCCATCACAACCATTCAAAACGGAACGATAGCTATCTTCCAGGGAATGGATGTCTGGTTTATGGATCCGGCCTTTAGTGTACTTAGCGGGCCCTGTCCTGTAAGCGATGTCTTCGAGGGACTGGACGTACCTCCGGACGCCGCCGTCACCATTCACGACCACAAAAGTGTCTCTGAGTTTGTGGGCGCCACCATCTACTTCGGCAATCTCTCTGTCTATACGTTCAGAAATATGAGGCCCTATCAGGTGGAGTGGGGTATATTGGTATACATGCCCGTGAAAGGACCCCTAAAAGCACTGGCCAACGATTTATACACAGAGGGAAAGTCAGTTTTAACCGTAAGTCATATAAACACTTATTTTGAGACCGCTTTTACCACTGATAATGGTATCCTCAGAACAAAAGGTATCCTTTGATCGCCGCCTACTTTGATCCGATGAGCACCAGAAGTATACTGATCTTCTCAAACGGCAAGGTATTGAGCTATTCCTTTGAATTGGGCTCAGACTTCGACAAACCCGTGGTCGCGACTCTAGCGGATGAGCTCAAGGTGTATGGGGTGTCGGGAGTGCCCACCAAAGTGGAGGCGGCCTTCACTCTTACGAACTCCGAGCCCAAAGCGCTCGTCCTATTCACGGTCGACAAGTACTGTAGCATTGATTTTGTGTTACAAAAGCCCCAGAATTGTGTACTTAAGCCGATCTCTGAGTTCTTTAAATGCGATCAAATCGTACAAAAGCCGGGAAATTGTCGCACGACTGCCGGCGAGCACTCTATTTATGACAAACCCGTAGATCTGTCCCAACGGTCGCCCAACAGCACCGGAAACAGTGGTAATGATAAGAAGATCGGACACCATTCACATAATCTATCGCTTTCTGTTCATACCGTTTATCAACTAATTCTGAATTTAATGATTTTTTTATTCATTAAAATATTTATTTAATTGTTTGTACTTTAAAGTCATACTCGAAATATATAATAAAATAAGTAAAATAAAGAGATTTGTTTTTATTATTGGATTTCAGTTTTACTAGTCTTTATGTTTAGAATATAATTTATTTTTAATCTTATACTAACTTATATTTTACAAAAATTACAATTTATACCGTATACTGTCTCATTCATATGTATTAATAGTTTATTTTAAAATGTTTATATTAATTAACTATTAATAATAACTTTATATTTAAAGATCACTTATTGGAGTAATATTATTGACCACTTCTTGGGCGTCAAACTCTTCAATATCTTTGCGACTCATATGAGACACAATACCAGCCCCATAGGCATCGCCTAAAACATTGAGAACCGTTCGGAACCTATCGATGAGCCAATCGATGACAATAACGAGCGCCGCGTCCTATCAGACAAACATTAATACGAAATATTTTGGTCAATAAGTAGAATAGTCTTACCTCTGCTGGCAGTCCTACAGCGTTCAGCACAATGACCATGGTCACCAGACCAGCCTATCAGGGAATACCATTTTGTTAGTTGTTTTTTAACTGAAAAGTTTGCACTCAAATGGCTATACCTGTGGAATACCTGCGGCACCAATACTGGCGGCGGTGGCTGTGATGGCGACCACAATAATCTTAACGATATCCAACTCCACGTCCCGGTATTGTGCGATGAAAATAGCGGCCACCGCTTCGTAAAGTGCCGTTCCGTCCATATTAATGGTGGCGCCGACGGGTATACAGAATCTCACGATTCGCTTATCAATTCCCAGATTCTTTTCGAGGCATTCAAAAGTGACCTAAAAATGAAATAAACAATAAATAAAATAATAATGAAAAATTTGTTTTGAAGACATGCCGGCATAGTTGCCGTCGAGGACCCGGTGCCAAAGGCCGTCATCATAGCCGCAGACATTTGCGACACAAAAGCGTATGGATTCTTACGGGTGAGTGCAAAATAAATTAGCGGTAATATAATGAGCCCATGGATTGCAATGCCCCCGATCACGGTAAGGGTGTACCAGCCCACACTTCCCAATAAGTCACTCAAATCGTCGACTTCAAGGATTTTGGGCAAAACGAGGAACAAAACGGCTAAAGGAGTCAATTGTATGATAACGACAGTCAGAGCCATCATTGCGTTATTGAAAGCTTTGAAAAAGTCGGCCACAACTTGGGCCTCATCTCTCATGCGACCGATTATGACACCGAAAACCACAGCAAACACAACGACTCCCAGAATATTCATTGAATCATTCTTAGCCGAACCGATGGTCCACTTATTCATATCAATACCCTCGCCATCGGTTCCGTTCGGAGGGGTTAAGACTGTTGTGTATGAGGCAAACGTTGCCTCAACTAAGTTATCGGGGAATAAATTCCTGTATTTAGAAAACAAATGGTTTAGTTGAACAAGTATAAATATAAATGCAAATGTACCTGATCAGATCTAATATGGTGTCAATAGTAGTCAGTTTTGCACTGTCCTTCTTCTCGAACTCCTCCTTATCCTTATCACCCTTCATACCCGGCTGTATAGTCATCACCAGAATTATGCCCAAAATAATGGACAAAACTGTTGTCGCCAGATAAAAGGCAACCGTCCGGAAACCTATCTTTCCAAACAGTTTGGTGTCGATGTCGCTCATAGCGTACACCAAACTCGTGAATATTAGCGGCAAAACCAAACCCTTAAGGATTCGTAGGAATAATTCGCCGATAAATCCCACGTATTTGATAGACCGGGGATCCCAACCCCCATTTATTTCTCTCAGTATAATACCGATAACAACGGCTAAAATAACACTGAACAGTGTGCCAATTGCTAGTATATTAGCATCAAATACTTTCAATACTTTAGCCAAAGTTGTCTTTCCGTTTCCATATCTATTCATCACTAGTTTGATGGATAGGGCCAGACCTAGAAAGCTGGCGATTATGTGACAAATCAAACTAATGCTACTGTTATTAAAATCCACGACCAGACACGACAATATCAGTATAACAGACAACGATATTGAGTATACAAATGATGATAATATGATGTATACTCTTTTGATCTGATATTTTAGAGTTAATAATTCAATGATTAAGAACTGAAGCGATAGAAACATCCGTAAAACCATTAAAATGATTATGAAATTAATTTTATAGACTTCTTTGGATCCATTGAGTCTGTAATCCTCTTCCTTAACCATATGTACGATTGAGTCGACGATCGATAGCAGAAGAAAGACGTTTGACATGAATCCGATTAAACCCATTAAACCCGTTCCCGGGTTTGCCGTCTTTTTCTGCTCATTTTCGTTCACTATTTTTCCGTTGGCTTTCATTTTGGTATCAAATTATTAATATAGCGTTTGACCACAAATTGCAGATTATTTCATGAATAATTTTTAAACCATGATCAATATTTAGTAACAGTAATCATATGAATAATGAATAAGTTATTGTCAATTGAGATGTTATTCACAAATATTTATTAGTGAAAATATTTTTGCAAAATAAATCACAACTTGTGATTCACAAGTTATATTTTATTTGCTGCTAAACTATTAAATAATTTAGCATTTCTCAATTATTATACCATTTATAGTCTCATAAAAGTGATAATTTGAATCTAAAATCAAATGTATATCACTTTTAATGCACTTAAAAAGTTCTTATTACATAATTAAGGATGTTAAACTTGAATCTTCGGTATTTAATATTAAATTACATATGTTTAGAATAAATAAACAATGACATTTTAACAATGCTACTATATACTTTTCCACAGTAACTGTAAAAATGTATTAAACTTTTAATATATAACTTTTTTTCATTAATATTTTTTCGTTTAATTATTTTTCAATTAGATTAATAGAATTTATGTATTCAATATTTAATATGTACACAGCTTAGTATATTGAATATACAATTCTTATATCGAGTGTTCAGTGACTTACATCCTTGAATATTATATTATACATAGCTTGTACTAGTACAAACTATAGTGCAAATTAATTTTATTATAACAATTCTTCTCTCAATGAGTATTTTATTACTTTCTTAATGAGCCCTAAAGAATAAAGTAATTAAACGCATAAATTGTGTTTGAGTTACCTTTATAAATATACCAGAATTATAATTGTCTATAAATACACACTCAATAATATTT